ATATCATATCCATATTTGTCCACAAGATATTTTATTATTGAGCATTTTGGTATTTTGCATTCAACTATTCTCAACCACTTTGGCTAATGCTCCATCATGCACGGAGACAATCGCCTTTATGTACGACCTATGCGTATTTGCTTCCACAAACACACTCAAATTGAACAAAGCAAGAACTACAGTTTTGCAAAATAAAGTGGTACCATCTTTATTTCGTTGCCTTCTCATCAGCTGCTTACAGGACAAAGACATTATTAAATATATCTGCAAAAGAAGTAAGATGTGAGAAAATAGACTTATTAGGTAAAATTAAAAGGACATATTCAAGGTCCAAATAACAATGAAGACCACTAAACCAAATAGCAGAGGTAATAGTATATCTGCTATGGTATCAAAACAAAATTAACCAAGGAAGGTTTATTGTTTGATGACGAATTATTTTTGAACGCATAAAGGTGGTTGAAACTACCTAATTGCCAACTATGGCTTCCACAAACTTTAGGATACGCAATCCCCAAACACGTTTTCTAGATAGGTTTAAAAGATCTGTTAACGTCAATTCTATGTCCTGTCTCTATAATACGTTTCGCAATAGAGAAGAGGTCTCCTGTTCTCACCATTAATAGGTTCTAAAAATTCCAGTTGATTCTGGAGCCATTTAGGAATATGCTCTGAAGCTGTTACTTGCAAAGATCGATGAGTCCTCCCTTTGTATGTGTGTCCACAAGTACATTCGAATCGGTACATACAGTGGGATGTGACGTCATTTTCCGCATGTTCAAAGGGATTAGATGGTGGATATATTGGCTTCAAATTCTCAATTATTATGATATTAGCTGCACAAACAGTTGTTTTAACAGCAGCGTTCAGTATTTGTCTAGTTGTCGAGCTGTTATGATTCCCCATATAGGGTAGCTTGATCTACACATCTTTTCTAGAGGCGAGTTGTAGAGTGTAGAGAGCCCTTTGAACATACGAAAAATGTTGTCACATCCCCCTCTATTCATCAGTTTGAATGTACGTGCGGACACACATAGGCATGGGAACGACTCATAGATCTCTGCAAGTAAGGGCTGACTTCAGAAGCAGATCGAATTTTCAGAACCTATTAATGGTGAGAACAGGAGACCTCTTCTCTATTGCGAAACGTATTATAGAGACAGGACATAGAATTGACGTTAACAGATCTTTTAAACCTATCTAGAAAACGTGTTTGGGGATTGCGTATCCTAAAGTTTGTGGAAGCCATAGTTGGCAATTAGGTAGTTTCAACCACCTTTATGCGTTCAAAAATAATTCGTCATCAAACAATAAACCTTCCTTGGTTGATGCTGTAACTGTGGAGGAAATGGTTTATTTAATAGTGCAAAGATGGTTAGTCAGTTAGTTCATGCCTAACACTATTTTCATCACATAAAGTATGTGCAGCCAAATATGGTATAGTGGATTTTTTATACTAAGACGTACGTGCATAAAGTCTTGTGAAAAGACTTCTTGTTTTACCTGAGGAGACACAGGATTGCAGCTGTGGGTGTTCACATCCTGACAAAATTCCTTCGGCAAATTTGTTGCATGAAACCAAGTGCCTATCAATGACGATGTCAACGATATGGCCCAATGGGATACCACCACACACCCTACTGACTGACAGTCTTCAGAGTTCTATGACATGGTATGACATAGTCCATTTTAAGCAAGGGTGAACAGTAAAGGAGAATAGGTAAGATGCACGAGTTGACAAACTGTAAGAGGAGGAGGTGTGTTGGTTGAGTTATGCCTGAGTGCCTTAATCTCCTAATGTAAAAGGTCAGACGAAATATTTTTTTAGAAATCTCTAATATGTCTGTGAAGACCAGAATAGGTCAGTAGAAAGAATTAATCCAAGATAGTTAACTTCAGACTTGATTTCTATATCACTACCATCAATTTTGCTAGAGTCATAGGAATCAACAGCTTCGTCACTTAACTTTCGTTTACATCGGAAAGTGAAGTTACAACTCTGACATTTGGAAGGATTTAGTTTAAGGCTGTTACACGAAGACCATTCGCTTACGACTCCTGATGGAAAGCTGTTCATCTTAGTACAGTCAAACTGGGAGTTAAGAGACGTTGAAATAGTTAGATCAACGGCATACTTAAAAAAGTTCATTTCATCTGAGTGAGGCAAGTCATGCAAGAAGAAAGAAAACAGAAAAGATGAAAGGACATTGCCTTGAGGGACACCAGCCTCAGTAAACAACGAAGTGGAAGAATTTCCCTGACATACAGTGTACTGCTTTCTTCTTGAGAAATAAGAATGCAGCCATTTGACAACTCAGCAGTCAGTTTGAGTTTCAGGAAGCTTGTTTAATGAAATGTTCCTAGTCAGTGAGTCGAACGCAGATGTGTAATCTAGGAAGGTGCAGCGAACAAATTTAGCTCCCCTTGTCTAAGCTGGAGACAATGGTATGATGCAAGACTGCAACTGCATCTAAAGTACTTCTACTGTGTTTATAGGCGAATTGTTTGGGATCGTTAAAAGCTTTAAGTGAAGGTTCGAGATTAAGTAAAAGTAACTTTTCTTTAGTTTTTATAAAAGGATAGGTAATAGCAATAGGTCTCAGTTTAAAACATGTTTCAGTAGACGACTTAGGTATAGGAACAATTTTACTGTCTTTCCAAACCGCTGGCACGACATTTCAGGAAAAAGATTCATTTAATATGTCCATGAGAGGATAACACAGGATGTCTGCACGCTTTTTAAGAATAACACTAAGCGAACCTTCTGAACACAGGTTACAAGAAGAGTTCAGAGACTGGAGACGTTTTAGAACGTCATTTGTATTGAAATCAGGGAAGCAGGTTTGATTAACACTTATAACACTAGAAAGTTTGGCATCATATTCTCATTGACATCATATTCTCTCGGATTCTCACTGTTTTAACCATTCAGTTTTCTCGGTGAGTAACAAAATGTACGTGAGCACATTTTTTAATTGGCTTTAAAACTACAAGTGAGCATTTCTCAGAGACGAAGGTCTTCCCACATCTTGCTAGTTACTAAAAAGATGTTTCGCTTAACGTTCAACATTAGGAAATTTAGGCAGTCTGGCATAAAGCAGCCTTTGCTTTCTCAGTTTGTCAATTCTCGTATTCTACCTATCCCTCTTTACTGCTCCCCATTAATCTTTCCTGGACTACTTAAGAAAGACTTTGCTTCGCTGAGAAGGGCACTAAAAGCCGTTAGTAGGGTAAGTGGGATATCGTTAAACCAACTGGTTAACACTATTGTAGATAGACATATTATATCATGTAAGAAACTAGCGAATATAATATTGTCGGACCCCGAGCATCCTCTCTATACACAGCTGTCTCCTTGTAGAACTAGAAGCAGCTATAGGCGGGTATATGCTAGGACCACCAAATACAAAAACTCCACAATACCGTATCTGGCACAGCTGTTATGTGATGAGAAATCCGTTAGGCATAACACGATCAACCTACTGCGGCACTCTAACAAATAGTCCCACTAGTTTTTGTTTTCCTTTCTTCGTTACTATTACACTGTTGTTCTCATCTTCTATCACACATCAACTTTATATTTCATATCCTGTGATGCGTTGTTTGAAATGTAAACTCTAGGCTGTTTTTATTTATTTATTTTATTTTTATTTACTTATTCATCTTTTGATTTTAAAAATCGTATATAATTTATGAGGTAATTTAGATGCAATATACTGTAATGCACGCTGAAAATTCCATACCTGTACCACAAATACCGTTTGGAATAAAGCTGTTATAATTATTATTATTAAATACCATCAAGGATTAGTCTACACTTCAGACCACACAGTATTGCGTCATATATTAGATGGTTGGAGACAACTGGCTACAGGAAGCCCTACCTGACCTAGGTTTCGTGCTAGTTGACACTCTTCATCAAGGCGAATCTGCAACCTTGAAGGAATTCATGTACACTCTGGGATTCGAACCCGCGTCACCTACTGCTTCAGTCAGAGACGTCACAAAGGAGCTATGTGGGCTCTCGACTGATTTCCTGTAGGACTGTAGTGAACACTTTGATTGGACACGAGTATCTAGTGTCTGACTGCAGCACTGGGTGATGCGGGTCGAATCTTAGAAGGGATATGAGTTCCTTTAAGGTTGCAGATACGCCTTGATGAGTGACTGGCGAGTGCCAACTATGACAAAACCTAGGTCAGGCAAGGTTTCCTTTGGCCGACTGCCTCCTACCATCTAATATCATCAAATCAATGTACACGTGATGGCCAGCTACCTGGAATGGTGGCCACACTGCAAACCTGACTAATAGAATTCAATATGCACTCAAACAAAAGGGACTAGACACATCACAGTAGTTACTTATGACCAATCAAAGTACTGCGTCAGATAATATATCAAGGATCGTTAATCTACCTGAAGATCCTGGATGGAGAGAAAATATTATACAATAAATTACGCTGAGAATTCTGCACATTTTGTGAAGATGTCGTCCAGAATAAAGCAGTGATCGATGTTGTTACGTTTAATACTTTAACTTCGATTATTTCCCTGAAGAATTCCTGACCAGTCTGCAGAATGTATGCTTGGAAATAATTATTTCCATATCTCTGGGATTTATACAAACATATTTTCTATTTATGTCAACTTTTCAGTCAATGCTCAATGCTTGTGGAAGCCATAGGTCTTTGTTGATGCTGGTGAAACTGTGTTTCCTGCGGTAGACAGTTTATTTGCAAAGCTTTCATCGTCTTTCCAAAAAAATATCTTCAGAGCAAAATTTCTCCTTGAATGATATTTATTGGTCTATCTACTTTCATGACCTTGTTTGTGATTGGTCGTTATTTAGCGCGTTAACTAATCAATCAATATTCAGCAAAAATCATGTGATCTAGCGAGTTAGATTTAAAATCACATTACACCGTATAATCCCATCAGGAAGATTTTTAATAATGGGTTAAATATGCACTCAGATGATTCATTTTTGTGGGAAATACATCGTTTTTTCTAAATGACAATTTTCATTTTTTTATTTTATCTAAGAACTAGATAATAATTTTTGTTTTTTATGAAGTTAAGGAATTTAAATCTGACCTTGAGACCACTGAACAAGGTTGTAGATTTAACGAATTAAAACAAAAGAAAAGCAGTGAACTCATTGGATTTAAAAATATATCAAAACTAAATAATGTAACTAGAGTAATGGATGAATATTTGAAGAATTATTTCAATAAATTTATTAAAATAATTCATTTTCTAATTCAAAATGAACATTATCAAAAAGAAATTGACGTGTACACGAAAAAACTATGTAAAAAGGTGACTAGTAGTCCTAGTAATGAGCAATCACCGTTCAATGAAGTGAAATTCACTCAACAAGAGAATAATAATGTATTCCCCTATTGCTTCGGCATTTTAACTGAAAAAATTCAAAACAATTCAACCAGTTTACGACCAAAACGTGATGTTGTCAGATATGTGTTAGATGAATCACAGACAATGAATAGTGGGATTACAAGTAGGCTGCCAGGTAGGCATAAACTGAAGAAAACTGATCATCAAGCGCATAATGAAAGAAAAAAGAATGGAGGCTTACAGACGATACAACAGAAGAATGCAACAACGGCGCTTGAAGAAGCATCCACTGCCCTGGATGCTAACTCGAACAAGAAACACGAGGCTAGTACAAGTAAAGCCGGTTTATTTTCTGCTATTGCAGCAAGTACACCTAAAAGTGAAAAGAAATCGGTTAAAGAGAAAGATACTGGTAAAGGTGTAGCCTCTATGAAGAAGCCAACAGAAGCTGAAGACGACCACCATGAGGAGGATAGTGCACATGTTGGAAAGGAGAAAAACCTCTTGAAACGATTTAAAAAACAAAAATCTAAACAACCAAAGCAATCACCAACAGACAATACTGAGATAACAACAGGTGACCAAGATGATATTCACAAAAAAGTTCTAGGCAAAAGTCGGCTATTCAAATCGGATGAAGAAGATAAGAATGGTAAACATAAAAATAAAAAACACACTGCAGATCATGATGATAATGATGATGATGATGATGATGGTGGCGATAATGTCAGTGATGATGAGATTCCATCAGAGCATGATAACAAACGAAAAACTGAGCGGTCATCTAAGATACAACGTGAAGTTGACAACAAAAATGGGAAGGAAGATTTAAAAATGCGAAGTCATCTTCTCAAGTCGAGTCATGATGAAAAAGACAAAAAGAAGAGGAGTAAGCCGGATAAAGACGCTGATGTTGACGAGGATACTAGGCGAGTGGATAAGGCTAAAAGTCATAAAGAGAAAAAAGAAGCAGAAGAAGAAGCGGTGAAGGGTGATGTTGATGACCAGCGTAAACACACTGTTAAACTCTCTAAAAAGAGACAAAAACGTCAAGATGATGAAGGCGATGAGGATGCTGAGGATAAGGAACACACTAAGAAACATCACGACACGGCTTACGATAAGAGAAAAAGGCGGAGACAGAAATTCACGTCATCATACGTTGACAGCGACGAAGATGATATCCATGATGAGGAGCATAGCATGAAAAGAAAAATGACTAAGGCTAAAACTCGTGGGAAGCACAAGGTTTCGCCAAGATCAAGATATGACTCCTCTGATGATAATGATGACGATGACGATGTTGACCAGCGTGATGATTTTGATGATGACGAAGAAAGGAAACACAAAACTCATCGGAAACCAGATCGAAAAATAAAAGACAAGTTCAAGTCTAGAGAAAAACATGAATTTAGCCACAAAAGAGAGGATAAAAAGCACACCAAAAAGAGGCACACCGAAAAAGGCTACAAAAGCTCAAGTGACGAGTCTTCAAGTGAAGATTCTTTTAGTTATTCAAAACACGAGAAACAGTGCAAGTGTGGTTGTACAGCATCACATGACACCACTTCACTAAGAATTCATTGTCATCCAGACTTCTATCGTGATTACCGGCCAAGTCATCGCCGTCAACATGAATACCTTTGTCATGTGAAAGAATCACCTCCAGCCTACCTACATCAGTGTAAAGATACTGAAGAAGATGATGATATCTTGGGAACATTAGAACAGATATGTTCAGATAGACGTAGACATTATAAAGAACGCTGTTGTACCGATTCATCAAGACGAAAACGCTGGAATAGACACAATAAGTCGGTTGACCTTAAACGCTACTTATCTCCACAAACTGTGAAACTTTTAAAAGCTGTTGAAAAACCATCTACACTTGATGGTTTATCAATGACTCGTCTTGAAAAAAAATTGAAACAAAGATTACCAATGCGATCAAAAGCCGATTTAACGCTAATTGACAGGGATGACTGTTATAGGTGTAATACTAACAGAGAATTATCTGATAACATCCCGCATAATAACCAGGTAAATTCAGATTGTCTAAGACCTCAACAATTACAGCCGAATACATATCAAAATCCAACCAATATGCCAGCATGGTGTCCTCCAGTTCTACCAGTCCTATCTCCACCACGTGTTTTAGTCAAACAAATTCCAGTGCCTGTTGTCCTGCCACAATGCACTACTATTCCAACAAATCAGTCAACAGTCTATCCATATCCAATGCCACCAACAAATCCGAATTATTTTAACCCGTCTGTTGCTCAACAAATGCCACATTATGCTGTACCACCGTATTGTCAGTATCCATGATGTTGTTTTTTTTGGTTCAAAAACAGACTTGAAATACAGTGTGAATCAACATTCTTGTCTCATGTTGTTTTGTTTTTTGGCTTTTTGATCTACTCAGATAGCTACTCATAAATTTTTTCAGTTTTTTGTTCATGTCTTACTTTGATATTCAAAGTAATACTTACTCAGAAGCGAATAAAAAATGGTAACATTTTGGTAAGTACTTGTTTGTCATTGTCTGCTAACTGCGAATTATATTTGTAAAGGGATCCTTCGTATTTGCATTGCTGAGGCGTTTAATACTATTATTGCTGCGATTAATAAACACTGTGAGAAATATGTTAAGCATTACCAGACATTAGTTAGGATACAATTCGTGGATGGTGACTGGCAGTGGAATCCAGGATAAAGCGCATTTCGTCCTGTTTGGGACTCGTCCGCCAGCTGGATGTACCTGCATTTCTCAGTGAGTGATGATGTTCCCCGCACCGAGGCTCGAACCCAGTACCCATAGTTTCGAACGCCAGAGCGTTATCCACAAGACCACTTGGGCCACGAGAGCCACCTCTTGTGCAACGGGTCATATTAATTATTGAATTGGAAGCTATGGGTACTGGGTTCGAGCTTCGGTGGGAACATCATCACTCACTGAGAAATGCAGGTACATCCAGCTGACGAGTCCCAAACAGGACGAAATGCGCATCCTGGATTCCACTGCCAGTCACTATCCACGAATTGTATCCTAACTAAATGGCCAGACATCGTCGAAGCATCTGCATAAGAAGCCAACATGTCAACCTGAGACCGAGCACTTCGGTCCAATCAATCGACGGGAAAATCAAAAAAATCCAATTACCAGACATTGTTTGTAAAAATTACTTATGACCTTAAAATAATAAGGTTGTAATCATGTAAGGATACTTATTCAAACTGTCAAAGAAAGGAGACTTAAGTCAATGCAAGAACTGGCGCGGAATTGTGCTTCTGTCCATCCCAAGCAAAATACCAAGCCGCATCATCCTGGAAACAATCAAACAAGCCACCCTAGATGAAAAACTTCAACCGGAAGAAGCTGGATTCAGGAGAAACAAGTCATGTATTGATCAAATCGCCACACTAGGGATCATCATTGAACAAAGCTTGAAATGGCAATCACCTCTCCACCTCACTCAAATTCATTGACTTTGAAAAGGCCTTCGATAGCGAGGCGTCAATTGAGAGGTGATTTGGAAACTACTTGGCTACTACCAAGGGGTGCCATCGACAATTAAACATCTCATCCAACAGTTGCACGACAATACTGCACGTCGAATAGTCCACAAATTGGAAACTTATGGAATCCTTCGAAGTGAAGACAGGAGTAAGACAAGGCTGCCTACTATAGCCAATGATTTTCCTGATTGCAGTAAATTGGATATTGTGACAGACAACGGGCAATGAGGAAACAGGTATAAAATGGACCCACACAAAAAACTTGGAGGATCTGGACTTCGCCTATGTGGTATATGTCCGATTTCCCGAAAACTGGACGATATGTAAGTGAAAAGCAACAAGTTCGAAAGAGAAGAAGCATCAAAGATAGGACTCCAAGTAAACATAGAGAAAACAGAGGTGATGAAGATTCCTGGCCAACACCAGCAGCAACAGCAACAACAACAGACAACAATCAGCCAGCATAAATGGAAGGAATCTGAAAGAAGCAACCTCCTTTACCTGCCCGCCTGGGAAGCATCGTTTCAACTTCAGGCGGACGGAAGTGATGAGGATATCAAAGCAAGGATTGGGAAAGCAAGATAAGCTTTCATTACTCTCAAGTCTGTGTGGAGGTCAACACCACAAATCCGCATCAAAAATAAGATCCGAATTTTCAACTCCAATGTGAAGTTAGTGCTACTCACTAAACGGATCAAAAACTTGTCGCGTTATAAAGAACACCTCAAACAAGCTACAGAACTTCATCAACAGCTGTCTTTGTTCACTACTAACCAAGATCAGGTGGCCAGAAATGACCGGCACCAGTGAGGGATCTCTGGTAATCAGCGAACCAACCAGGAACCGATTGTTCAACAAATAAGCAGGAAGAAATGGAGATGGATTGGACATACTCTGAAGAAGCCATCAAGTGACATCACTGGACAAGCTCTCTAGTGGAACGCGAAAGGGAAGCGGCAAGTTGGTTGTCCAAGGATGACATGGAGGAGGTCATATGAAGAGGAGATGAAAGCATGTGGGCAGACTTGGAGCCAGGTGAAATCTCTAGCTGAGGACCGAATGCAATGGAGACGTGCGGCTGAAGCCGCATATTCCTCTAGGAACTAAAGGAAATAATAATAAATAATAATAACCATGTAACACAAGTCGAGGGTATGTTCGGAAGACTTTACAGTTTGCCAGTGTTCATAGCTTAACTGGATATATTATTATTATTATTTCCTCGGGTTCTGAGTGGAACATAGGGCTGGCTTCAACAACACATCGACATTCTGTTCCATTTTCTGCTGTCCTCTTCAGTTAGCTAGCTAACTACATAACTGTCCATAATATCTCGTCTCCTCCATGTCACCCTTGCACCACCGACCCGCTCGTCACTTTACCATTCGGATTCCACTCAAGTGATGTCCTGTTTTGAGCGCAATGTCATCCGCAGCCACCTCACTGACGTATACCCAGAGCAATCCATCTCTGTCAGCATATGGTTAATTTGCTCCCAGCCAGAGTTTCCTGTCTCAAATTCTTTTTGGCTGGCAGGAGGCTTACCACCTGATCTTCTGAATGTAGCCAGCCAGCGATTTGGGCAGCTGTTAATTACAAGCCGGCAGTAGTTTGTTAGAAATTCTTTTCGTGACCCAAGCGCTCAGTGCAAGTTTCTGACCCATATAGAAACAGTGGTTGACTGATCGACTGACTGAACATTTGTATTGAGCAGAGTACAAATCTTTCATTTTTTTTAATGCTGGCTGAGTGTGTACAGAAGATTTCTAAACTGGTTTCAAGTTGATGATGGCGTATATCTTTCTTGACTTTCCAACTCTGGCTGGCCTGCATTGACATCGTTATCAAAGTGGTTGTAAACGTGCTTTTCTAGCCAGGTAACTGATGCAAGTAACCTCTGTCAACTCTCTCCCCCTTTCTCTCTCTCGATAATGGTGATTGGTGCTGGTTGCTGTTGGTTGGTTGGTTGGTTGGTTATCTTCACTATCTCCGTCATCACTGTCTCTATCCTCCCCTGGAGTCCTGTCTTCGCCGCCTGCTTGCCTCACCTCTTCAGCCAGTTTGTTGACTTTTGCCTGCAACACTTCGAGGTTTTGTATGCGCCATTAAACATAAATCATCCACACGCGAAATATAAATCTCCCAGAATCTTTATAATAAAGGTTTTTTTATTTCCCAGTGAGTGAAAAACAAAACGAAATTGTCGTTGTTTTTACTGACGTTTCGCTATTTAATGCTGCTGCTAATAGCTTTATCAAAGTGTTATTAAATCAGAATTTACAAAATCCACTCAGCTTATATATAACAAAGAGCTAAGAGGTGAGAAAATAGAATGCTTAGGCCAAGTTAAACAGGACATATTGAAAGTCGAAATAACAATGAAGATCACTAAACCAAATGTCATAGGTAATAGTACATCTGTTATGATATCAAAACAAAGTTTACTAACTTGATCATCGTTCGTCAGTCTGGGGTCATTTTTCGTTGTCAAGTTGGTCAATTGGTAAAGATAACAAAACCAGTTAGGCGTAGATTGTTGGACTTGATCAGTGTGTACAATTATGAAAGCAGTGTGTGTGTTTACATAGTGAACTTGCTTATCACATTCGTGTTGATGTTGTCACTTCATGGGGGAGGGAGTGGGGTGTTGTAACTAGGTCAGATTCTGTTTAAGTCCATCATTCCTATCCAGGCAATTTGGATTCCATTTGATATGAAGTGCTGGCTTTTGATATTAGATGATTTCTGAAGTTTTTCTGGATTATTTCAGTTTAGTCAAAATCAATTTTGTGGCCTGATTCTATAGCGTAGCGTGTAGACGAGCTATGGCTGATGATTTTTCAAGTTTTTCTAGCTCAACCAGATTTCTCCGTGGTGGTCGAACAGATGCTCTACGGTGTTCGTTTCTTCTCATTACCTTGATTTCTCTCTGGAGATGTTTGTCCTATGTATATCGTATCACATTCCAAGCAGGCATTTTATTTTATAGACACAATTAGACAGAGGATCTTTAAGGATTTGATCTTTTATATGGACAAGGTTGTTTCGCAGTGTTTCTGACGTTTTGAAGAAAACATTACTATTGGGTGGTTCAGCGCGCTCCTGTTTTCTTACTCCTCCTGCACAGTCTGACGTCTTATGCAGTCCCACTAAAGTTAAGATTATCATCTTGGGTGATAATAGGCCGGCAGCCTTGTCTTACACCTGTCTTCACTTCAAAGGCTTTACTGAGTTTTCTACTGTGTATCACCTAATAAGTAGCATTCGCATATAGCCAGCTATTGAATGAGATTGGTAAAGACTTGGACACCACACGCCGTAGTACATATGTATATGTATAGGTACAAATGTTATTCCCCTAGGTTTCGAGTGTGACATACGGTTACATGTATGTATGCATAAGAGCTTTCGATACCTCTCAATCAATGAGATCCCAATTGCTGTCTTGGTGACTAGAGTAGATTATTATTAACTCTCTAGTTAACAGTTTTAAGTGTCCACTTCTATTCCACCCTCTCTCTCTCTCTCAGAGATTCCTAGAACGTCCACCATTCAGTACCTTCTCATTTCCTTTATGACAATCTGTGCAGTCTTCCCCAGATCAGAACAAATAAGAGGTTATTTAAGTCTGTCTGTTTTCGACGTAGAACTTTGCAGTTCAAGTTGGCACACTCCATGTAGCGCACAAAATAACAGAAGAAAGTTGGAGAAATGTATAATAGAGACAGTAAACAGAGGTGTGAGACAAAGGAATAGTAGTAACGAAGAACAATATGGTTCCATTGGAAATTATAAGTCACAGGGAGTGG